GCTATGGAGCAAAACGCTACCTGTAGGCCCTTACTGCCCCTACGTTATGTGCGCACTACGGACATGTACCTCCAACTACCCTCCTACCTACGCCTTACCCTCGCACACTACCTAAGGATGTCCGCTCCTATGGCTGCGCATACTATGGCACTTGTGACGCATGACCCAAGTCAACAACTAGTATATTATTAACTACACTATGGACTATGATAAACTATGATGAATAAATATGTGAGAAATGATGTGGATCAACCACTCTTGCTACACGACAAAACACAAGTAATTATTAAGTTTACCACTCTTGCTACCGCCCAAATACTGTGAGCAACAATAATTGGAAAAAAAAAATACTAAAGAGAAACTACTAAAAAGTACAGGTAGCGGCTCCTACGCTTACTAACCGGCCCTCCTAAGAACTCTGCTACGGCCAGGAGGGTAACAGCCCACTGGGGGCCTTGGACACACCCTCACCCTTGGCTGCCCAAGGGTTTCGGGTGCTCCTCCTCCTCCAGTGGTTACCTGGGATGTCCTTGTCCGGAAGGGAGTATAGTCTTGCTGTCGAAGTAAACGGGGCCTCACTTGATGTTGAAGTGTTGCCATTGTAGTCGGATGGTGAAGTTGGCACAAGGCGACGAGCGAAGGAGCGACCAGTCGATACGGCGGCAGACGTCGAAGTGAGAGAGAAGCCAGAGTCGACGCCGACTCTGCATCCCTAGCGGCTTCCAGAGTGTTCGACCGTATCATCCTGGCAACTGTCATCCTGCACTCTGTTGGACAAACGTGTGATAACAGTTGTTTAAAACAGCAATATCCCACCAAACGCCCAATGACGGCCACTTTCAATACGCAGCCACGCCCTCTGCATCTCAGAGATATGGATCGATAGGCTCGTGGTCAGTAATAGCCAATAAGGACATGATTCCGAATGGTTAAACCAAACTTCTTACTCTGTTCTCTGCTTATCATTTGAAGTATAATGACACAGAGGGCAGCTTTACGTATCCTGTTTTTCTTAATGGGTCCTTTGGGCTCCAGAAAAGATCAGCCCGCAACAAAGTCCTTTTTCACTTGCGGTTCCGAGGGCTATTGCTGCAATGTGCACCATCGGCCCTTATTCCTTGATTAAGGTCTATTTCCTAGGCCATAGCTAAGTTTCAGGCCTTTACTAAAGTGCAAGCTATAACCGGGGTTGCTAAAAGTCACTAGTGCTCTCCAGTAACGCTATATTTTATGAAATCCACGTTTTTATAGATGGTCCATGAGATTCAGCAGACAGAAGCTGGAAAGAAAATGACAGCAGCTGGAGCTGAAGCGCTGAGACAGGTTGGTCCCTGTTGTTCTGCTTTGAATTATCAAACTGTCCACTTTTTGATACCGGTTCTCTTCGAAACAATTTCTTTTCACAGGCCAGAGTCGCTGCAGAACACGTGGAAAAAATAGCCGAGAAAGTGGGCGACACAGAAGTGTACAAACAAGTTTCTACGGTAAGAAATGATTTACTACTCGGCGCAAGACCGCCAGGGACCATTTTCTGTGCAAAACTTGGATTGCCGTAATCGTAATGAGGTCTTGCCCCGCTCCGGGAAGGAGCTCCCGAAGCGCGAATGGATTCCTCAGTGCGAAGAGAGGGTCACGCATTACGGTAATCCCAATCTGCGCAAAGAGCTCTCCGAATTCTCCCTTCCCCTTCCCCTGGCGGACGTTTCCCCATCATTCTTCTGCAGTTTGACTGAGGAGATGATAATTCTTGAAATTTCAGTCAATGAAGGTTGTAAAGGACGAGATCGATAACATTACTGATGTTCGAATGTATAGTCGACCAGGTAGGTATCCGAGTCACCTATTTTTTATCACTGTTTTTTCTGCCCATACTTTCCTGTATGGCGGTGGTGTGAAGTGTCCTGCTTACAACTCGCCCGGTCCGGAGTTCAGATTCCGGATAGGCTTCCGCCCGTGTCCACATCAAGCCTTTGAGCCCTTGATGAATTGGTACTATATTTGTCTAGGAGGGTGGAAACGCAGCCTTTTATCGGCTCTCCCGTGTTACCCAGATCGTGTTCAAAATGGCATTGGAATTCTGAATGAAAACGATGCCGCTTAGCAAAGGGAAATTAAACAACGGTGAAAGCATGATCCCTTTGTCCTCTATTCAGTTTCTCCAATAAGAAATGTGTCCCATACAGTTAACCTATTGACTAAGGTGAACAAAACTTGGTTTCAAGCGCGTGAACTTGATGAGGTTTTGGCAGCTCCATCGAGGAGAGTAAACCAGAAATAATCAGTGAAACGTATCCATCATGATCATGGGATCGATTGCCCTACTTTGTAGGACTGAGTTTGTCACTATAGTAGAAACCCTGTATGTGTAAGTTGACCCTGGGGCGTGCTGAGAGTCCCTCGGCAGGGAGAGAAGGGGGGGGGGTGTTATTGAGTTACAGAGGGGCTTCTGTTAGCGAATTCGGGTGTGGTAAAGATAAGACGTTTGATTTTCTCCACGTTTCAAAGGCATGTAGTTTCTGTTGAGATTAGAGGGTCGCTACCGAGCTAGTGAAGATTGGGTAGCACAGTCCCAACTACACGACTTGTGCTGTTGACTAGTGAGCTATGTGAACTTCCTATTTTACTGTCAGATTTTCAGAGGTTCTGAAGAAAAGAACAGAAGGATTTACTGATACGTTCGCCAATCGAACGGTTGAGGCAAATGAGTGAGTTTACATCCTCATTCCTCTTCATAAACACTTTGGCAATACATATTGTTCATGAAATATTGGGCACTGCTCATGTTTTCACTATATTTTCTGTCAAAAACTGGGTGTATGCTGCAGGTATCAGCAAGCCCTGAATTTTGTGTCAGTTTTCTAATATGGATTTTTAACAGTGTTGCAGAGAGGCCACAGGGATCACACTGCACAAAGAATCTCGTTGGTATGCTGGATGGAAGAAGTTCTCAGAGGAGAACGTTTATTTCAATAGTTCGTTTGCAATATTTGCGTAATTCTTTCTCTTTCCTGAAATTAGTTCAATGTGTATGTTTAAGAGCTCCTCGACTGGAAAATCAGGTATGAGGAAAGTGACAACATTGCTGTTCGACTTGTGCGTGGTGTCACGGAGCGGATAAGCACGGTTTTTGGTGAGCATTGTGTGTAGAGATGGTTTCATTCCCTTTGAACTTCCAGCCAAATCCGTCTCTGTTTTTTTACCTCATTAGGATGCTAAAAAATCATAAAGGAGTCTATTGAGCAACGACTCTCATCGTCAGTGCTCTCATATCAATGTGGTGTTCACCCAATGGCCCTCCCAACGGTCTAAGCCTTATGCTACGTTCATATTTTGCGACTCAGAGAATCGGCGTTCTGCCTGAATGTGCGAAAGAGGAAAGTGCATGTGTCGATCTGACGTTTTGAGAGGATCGGCGTTTGAGCGAAAAGGATAAAATCGGTATTGATCGGCCCCAAAACGCCATCTCTCCCGGAGCGTCGACTCTCCTCAATCACCGACCCTTCAAAAACGCCTATTCACTCAGAGCGCCAGATCGATGCAGAATCGTCCCCGAACACCGATTCTTCCGAGTCGAGAAGTATAAACGCAGTCTCAGAGATGGCAAGTTCTCTCCTGGGTGGCCGCTCCAACCTCCGACCTCACTCCGTGAAGTACTAATTTATAATGTGATACGATTTAGGCAGCCACAAGAATGAAGTGTCAGAAGTACTCAGCAAAATTGCTAAAAGTAATAGATCCGTCCTTTGACAAAGCTGAATGGCTGCGGTTTTGTGAGAAGGAAGTCATACCTAACGTTTTGGAGGCATTCATACGTGGCGATTTAGAGGTGCTGCAGGATTGGTGTCATGAACGGGTGCGTTTATCTTTCTTGATTTGAGGGATTTCATTATTAAAGGATGTATTAGGAATTATGTCGGTCATGTCCTGTGCTGTAGATAGTGTGACTTTCACAAACTAATATCTTTTATAGGTCAAGACTAATATCTTTATAAGGTCTTTCGGTAGCTTTTATCTAACGTTATAAAAGAGTATGAGAAAATAAAGTTCAGTACGAAGGATAGTCGCATTATTGATATTAGTAAAGTGGAGGCGAGTTTGACTTATATATATTATTATTCTTGAATTATTTTGTACGACTTCGATTGCATTATCCTTGAACACTGTTCGTCCTCATTCGTAACAATTTAAAATGATTGTAGCGTTTTTGTTTCTAGAAATGGATGGTGTCTGGAAAAATGATGGAATAAAGGCCCGTATCTGATAAAATCATCATTCCAAGCGTTTATGATCAAATGTTTGTGCGAACAGCGAGGGCAAAGTAGCGTCGAGAGGTGGGATCCGTGAGTGACTTTTAATAACTCACTATCTACAACAAATGCTGTATTGTTATTCACTTTGAAAGTGCTTATAGTGCCGCCTTGCGTCAGGACGCCTGGCGCTGCTTTTAATAATCGCTGGTGAAATATCCGTTAGTCCCTAAAGAGTGCAAGAGTTGTCTTAAGGGTTGGAAGACAATGAACTTCATATAGCCTTGTTCGGCTTGCGGATACCGGGGCGGGGATGGGTCTATCGGACAAGTTGAACTGCGAATTCCTTTTGAACGCTCAGGTTTGTATTTCGCTCCGTTCTATCTTATCGCACATGGCCTTTTATTCCTGGCTCGCCATTTTTGATCATGACGTTCTCGACGCTTTGGCAGAACGCTTCGCGTCTGTTGTGTGTCTGAGTTTCTGGGCGGAAGGGTGAGGGCGGGGAGTATATAACTGGCCTGGGTCTGGTTCTGCGCCAAAAAGCCGGTTCTATACCAATGTGAAAGCGCATATCGGTAGAAACGGCCCTCCCTTCTTCTCTGAAGGGCGTAAGGAAAAGTAACTTCTACATAACAGCCGGTCGTTCTAGTGTTTCCTAGAAGATCTCCTTTTGATGCTCCCTCCCCCCCCGCAGAAAGTCAGAAAATACCATAGTTTGTTTAGTGACAAGATTCAATTGCTTGCTTTCTCCATAAATACTGGAGGTGTAGAGATCATCAAGCTGTTAAATGGTTCAAGAAGGTGATACTGGGACACGCTCCTGCTCGTCAATGCTGCTCCTGCCCAAATCACTCTGGGCAGGAGGGGCAAACACTTTTTTGTTGGGAGAGTGTGGCAGGAGGCTTGGCTTAATTGTATCCTCCCACGGCACACCGATTAAACCCATTCTCAAGCTGCATTGACAATCTATATATAGTACAGTGTTTACCAACCTTATTGATGGGGCGTGTCACTGTGGCGTGAATTTCGGCGCAGTGCAGCTTTTTTCTGCGGTCATTACCAGGCTAGGCGAACAGTGATTGGTGGTAAATGGGCTGCCACCGCTCCAAAATCTGAGTCGTGCTGACACGCCCCGTCGATTCGCTTATTTTGTTGAGTTGCGGTGGTTGAGGCTTTATTTTGCGTACAAGAAAGCAGATTGTGTAAATTTTGAAGAAGAAAATCAAAAATATTCTGGTTTTTGCAGAACACGCCGGTTCGAGTACATCACGTATGGGTGATGTGTCGCGACATGGAGGAATACAATCCAGCCGTGGCGTGGAAACTCCTCGAAGTCCATATGCAGCAAGGACAGCTTGCCCTGTAAGAGCATTCTCGATCTCATTCAGCTCGCTCAGAAGTTCTTGATTCTCAGTTCCCGTGATTAATTAGAGGATTCAAGAGATGTAGGCACAATTTTTTAGGTTATACGTAGGTTTTGTGATGTTGTGTAGTGTTTTACTACTAACTTCCCTAAGCTGTATAGTGAAAGAAGAGTATATGCATTTTTAAAATCAACTAATATTCTGTTTGCCCTCGGTTTCGATCCCTCCGCTGCCGTGCCGTCAATCCAGTCTCACCCATTGTAATATAGGTGTACTCGATTTGTATGTAGGTAAGCCGCTGGATTGCTTCTTATTCTTCCGAAGACGGGTGTTGATGCGAAATTGTTATTTGTTACTTGTTGAGTAAAGGATTTGCAATTTTGATGGGCATCTGGTGATAGATTTTCTTCCTTTTTTGTGGTATATTTCAGTCCCTTCTTCCACGCTGATCACATGGGTGGACACTGTCAACCAGTGTTCCTTTCCCAGCGGGGCGTCGCTTCCCTTTACCGTCCTAGAGGCTGACAAATCAATTTAGATTTATTGCGTGTGTGACACATGACATGAACACACATGAAAAATGAGCATCCCATTGCAAACCAGCGCATCCCTGACATGGGCCTCGAGATGGCCAAGACTTTTAGCTCAAAGAGAGACGAAGG